TATATATATATATATATATATATATATATATATGAATATATCAAAAATGCATATGGGTACTCAAATGGAAGCTCTTGATGAATGTAATCCCAGGATGAGCTTATATCTTTAAAAACATTAATAGTTAAGAAAGTACAGTGCAATTCAACAATAGTGACTGCAAAGTTGCTAGTTAACTATTAAGAAACATTCACTGAAAAATATTAGCTAACAATTTATAGTATATTAAAGAAAAATGTTTAGATCCTCTTATTCTATCAGTGTACTGCACAAAAAGTTAATTAACGTTAATTTAATCCTCTAAATAATATAATTTCGACTTGAACTGAAGCAAAAACTCTCAAAGGTACAAATCAACGAATTAGAGAGGCAAAAAAGTACAAAGTTTTGTTCCCAAGTCTGACCGAGGGTAAACCAGGACTACTTTTAGCTTTCAGTGAAAGCGGGCGGTTGGATGAAATAATACAGCGATACAAACAGAGGAAGCTGATGCTGGTTGTGCTCAAAGTCGTACAGATGCAAGCTGAACATTGTGTTGAAGGCTGAAGCTCTGTTTTGTGACAAATATATATCTATGTTCGGTAGGTCTCTGTGTAAAGAGACCGCAGAAAAGGCGAACTGAAAATTTTTGCCGTGATTGCAGACTACAGAGGTACCGGAGTCGAGTAGACTGGCGGCTTGCCAGCGCCGATAACGTTTTGTGAATCTACATATGCTCCCGGTTTTATCCTGTGAACATCCGGTACATGTTTGCACTCGTGTATATCAACTACTACTCCCGTCGGTTTTACTACAACTTTTACAGCGACTACTGCACTCGTAACACTCGTCAGCTTCCTGCTCTCTTAGATACCATGACTACAGATGCATAATAAAAATTAAATCATTGCCTATTTCTTTATATTAGTATTGCATTTCACGGAAGACTTGCGTCTGATAAAGGAATAAATTATCATTAATTATCATTAATTAATTAGTTACTTAGAGGTAATAAAACGACCAATGGAGGAAAGATATTAATTTTTATTATGAACGTTTGATCAAACTAAGATCAGCTGTTGTCATGACCGTCCTGATACTCTTCACTCTCGCGGTGAACAAGAACATGGACGACCGTTGCTTCGGACTGCTGGCGAAGCAATGGCGGCCTTACGGGCGGTATTGTGGTCTCGGGACTTGGTTCTGTTACCAAAATACTGACGTCGCTAGCGTCGGGAATGCGCAGTGGCGCTGGTTCCACGATAGGAACACTTCTTTTGCCCCTCAGGCTTCCACACCGACGGGTTATTGCTTCTTTTATGTCCCGCTGAAGAATATTCAGCGACAATGCGGTCCCACTCGGCCTTATTGAGCTCCGTTTTGAGGTCGGTGGACTCAGGATGTCCTCGTCGGGGTACGGATCCACCGCGTCCTGCCGCCCAAGTGTCGCTCCAGAGGATCTATAATTTTAGGATGTGTTAATTGTCGAAATAAAGTCAATTTATATCACACAATTTTAATTCAACTGGTTAAATTAATTTTCTAGGCTAGTCTATTGTCATCCCTAGGCAAAAAAAAAAATTACTAAGCGATTATTAATTAATTAATTATTAGAATTTACCAATTAATTGCCAGTTAGTAATATTAACAATTTTTTGACTAAGCTAGATTAAGATACAAAAAGCAGTTACAGAAGATACAGATTAAGAACTCGGAAAGAAAGGCGACTGGTGGCTTTTAACTTAAATTTTAGTTTGTTTGTTTGTTTGTCCGACCAGGTGTTTTTGATAATGATAAATACGAGCGAGAAGTTGTTTTAATGTTTGTTAGCCCGGCGATAAACAGACGAGATTTAATATGCAATTAAATTTGTTAGACTAAATATTTTGCCAACCTCTGGCTCACTTTCCTTCCAAAATTTAATACCAAGTGACTTCCTCTAGGGTTTAAAGTTTATGAAGATTTTATTTACTTTGTAAATGGAACCAAACTTTGTTATTTTTGTTTTAGGGGTTTGTTTACTATTTTTAACTTTTTTAGAGTTAGTTTATAATTTTATAAAAATACATTTTCTGTATAAGTTTTTCTGATCACATCTAGACATATTTTTTTGACAAAAAATATTTTATTTAACTTTTAGATTATACGGATTAAAAAGTCATGTTGATTGATATTTTTTGTCTTTATTTAAAGTAGTATAAATGAAAAAATTTATAAAATCACTTGATAGCTTAGAAAAAATGATCTTTATTTGAGAATTAAAATTTAAATCTTCTATAGTGAGATATTTTAACGCTTATGCGCCACCTGTCGGATTTTTTCAGTACTAATTTTGATTAAAAAATTATAAATGATCTTGTTAAGTCATATCAAGTAAAAAATGGCGAATTTTGAGATTAGAACTTGAAAAAAAATATATTTGAACACAAAAAAAATTTTTAAAAGTAAACTGTAAAATTCACTCGGATTCTGGTTAATTTCTATAGTTTCAAACAGTACAGCGAACATCGGGGCACAAATGTAAATATTACAAAACTTAATGTAGAAAGTGTAAAAGCCACAATTTATAATTTAATATCGAAAATATGATTAGTAGCTGTCACTACAATGAATAACGACTCTCTCATCTTAAAAAATTACAGTTTCAAACAGTAAAAATTGCCGTTTCAATATATATTCTATCTTATGAGGATAAGGGGAAGGTTTCACACTCGGAGAATTTAACATTTGGAACAGTAAAAATTCTACTCTTAAAATATATATTTTACCAGTCCTAGCAAATCAATAATTATGATTTGATTTTTAGCGTTGCGTTTAAAATTTACCATTTTACTTCGTAAATATTGACGTTGCTTGTATAGAAATTTAGTAACTGTAGTTAATATTTTTTCATATCATACGATCATTTTTTAGGTACCAAATGATAAATATCAAAGTAAAAATTCTTAATTATTATACTTAAACATTTTGGACTTTCACATAGCGAATATTACTGATTAAAATAGTATTTTCTTCCATGTAAATAATAAATATTATAAAGTGATTTTTAAAATCACTATTTTACTGTTTGAAATGGCAATTTTTTCTAATTGATCAATACTTATTATAAATCGACTATTATTTACTTTTTTCCGTGCACGTATAACAGCTTAAAATAATAAAAAAAAACTGTAAAGTCGATTGCAACCATAAAATAATTTTTGAAACTACAAAAAAGCCAACAGTCGCCTTAGAGAAAAATAAATTCTAGTCGCGCTAAAAAGTTTCTACGTATAAAAGTTGATGTCACATCTATAATATCGTTATCGAGTGAAGAATAAACGACAGCCGTCAACAGTAACTTCGTTTTTTTTTTAATACTTGTTTACCTATAGCATCAACTGGCTTCGGTTAAAATTGAAAGAAAAAATATCAGTAAATAAATAAAATGAAAATTTGTAAAATTTATATAAAAAGTACAAGTTAAAATTAATGTGCGATGCAGTAAATTTTGAGAAGAGGGTGAGGTGATATAAATATTTAAATAAAAAATAACAAGTTTTGTGATAAGATGGAGAAGATATCGTACCTGACAGTAACGTGAGAGTCGGAGCCAGAGCTGGAGGTAGCCGAGGGCTGTTCCATGGTGGGCGAGGGACGGGACACGGTCAAGGAGGGTGGCTGCAGGTCCTCGTGGGTCCCGGTGGCGCCGGAGAGAAGCAGCAAAGGTAAATTTGGGAATAACCAAGCCGATGCTGTCCCTAGCTCGCTAAGATCGCTGGCGTCGCTGGCCCTGGAGGACTTGCGGCTACTGGCCCTACTTCCCCGGTGTACGTGGAGAAGGGCCGATAACTTACCACCCCACCCACCGCCTCTGCCTTCGCTGCCCATGCCACCCGGACTCGATGTTTGGGTTTGCGAATCTACCTCGTGTGCTATTCTTTCACGTTCTTTTTTCATTCTAGATTTTATTTCAATATATAATCATTATTATTATTCATTATTTATTATTATTATTGTTATTATCATTGGCATGGAATTTTAGGGTGTCTAACGGGACTCCGCGTCAACCCTCATTGGTCGGGATTATTTTTAACGCGATATTTAACTGCAATCTATAGTTCACTTCAAAAAAGTTTTATTTTAATTGCTATTTATTATTTATAGGATCATTTTATTTTTATTATTTTTACGGACTGTTTTATGAAATTAAAAAAAATTATACACTGTAAAAAATCGGGAGTTTATTTTCATTTTTATCACGGAGTAAATTTAGATTTTTTTTCAGTGGAGTAAATTTTTTAATAATCTGAGTACAAAGTTTTTGCACAAAAATAAATTTTTATTTTAATGTAAAAAATTTTATAAGTTAAATTATTTAAAAATACTTCAAAAATTTATCTTAATCAAGCTTAAGTTTGTAAACTTTAAATAGATTTTTATAAAAATTTGACTGAAAAATTGAACCAAATTTTCATAAATACTACACAGAAAAAGAAATGTTCTTAAATCAAGTACATAATTTTGAAGAGCTTAATATTCTTGATTTGAATAGAAAAATTCTAGATTTAAGGAAATTTTACTTGATTCAAAATTTTTTCGTATTAATTCAAGACAATTATCCTCTTCAAAATTATATTTTTAGTTTAAGAATTTTTCTCTTGAATCAATCCTAACCAATAAAGAATTAGTAACAATTCTTTCGAGATTTTCGATACTGCTTCAGTTCAATCATCAATTTTATATATTATTGGACAATTTTTGTTAAGTCTTATTGAGAAATTTTATAAAAGCGTATTCTAAAAAATAAAATACAATCAATTATTAATATTACTACGCTTAATTTAATAAAATTAATTACTTTAATGTTACTAAAATTAATTGACAAATAAAAATTTCAAAATTTCAAATTACGGGTTTTGTAATTTACAAATGAATACTATTTTTTGTAATTATTTAATCCAAAAAATTAAAAATTCACTCCGCGGAATTTTTTTTATAAATAATAGATATGAAATTCTTTTTATAGAGTGAATTTCACTCCGAAGAAATAAAATTATTTAATAATTATCCGCTCCACAAATTTTTTACAGTGCAGGACTCTGAAAAATGATAATTAAAATTTTTGAACTGTTCGAATGAATGGTTGGCTGAAAAATGGTTTGCGTTTATTTGCGCAAACAAAAAGTATTGTTAATAAAAAATTTGAAGTTATGTTTGATGAAATGGAATAGTTCAACAGAATGGCGGCATGCTCGAGCACGCTACTCGAAATTGAAACATGGATTAATTTTTTACTGAACGAAATTCATGCGTAGGTATATTAGATCTTATCAAATAAAAAATCAAACTTTTTGTATTATCATAATAAATTATTATTTTAGATAATTTCTAAAAAGTTTGATTTTCAATTCAATAATTGAAAAATAAACGACTTCAATGCGGGTTAAATATTGCAAAATTACAGTAAATCCAATAATTAGACTACAGAAACATTAGACACCCAAAAAGAGTAAAAAGGAAGAAATAAATTGAATAAAATTAATATTTACGTGATATAATCGCGGAAAGTGCGTTGAATAAGTCTGGCAGCTTTGTCCTGCCTCTTCCAGATCCTCGTGGATGACACGATCTCCAACTCCTTCCTCGTAGGGAACTGTTTCTTGAACTTAACGTCCATTTGCTCCTGGAGTTTTCTAAAGTCTTCAGACTCCTCGACGTGTCCAAGGACGTGCTTGACAAGTGCGTGTAGGATGTCCAGACAGTGTATTTTGTTTCCTTTGGCGATAGGAAGATTAAAGCTCACCAATGCTACGACATTGGGCTTTGAAATTCCTAACGGAGGGTCTAAGCTCGCTATGAAGTCGCTCAGTTGTGAAAACCGGATGAATTGCGTTGCATGAGGGTCGTATCTGTTGATCGTTCAATTATTAGTTAGTACAGTTGGTTAGGTATCGGATTTCAATCAAAAATCAACAGAGAAAAATACTGAAATTCGTTTATAATCACTCAAATTAATTTTTAAATTTTACAGATAATTTTAAAGTTTAATTCTGCGTAAATTGAATTTACAAAAAAACATGATAGGAAATCTTTTCTTTAGAAAATGCAATTTTCTTTAAAAAAGGTCCGTATCAATTTTTCCGCATCTCACCTTTTAGCTAGAATATCAATTCAAACCTAAACTGACAAGGTTTGATTGAAATATTGGACTTTGATTAAAATTTTTATTTTGAGGTAAATATTGAAGATACGAAAAAATCATATCAGACTTTTTTTTATAGAAAAATATATTCTCTATAAAAAAGATCCTCGTCAATTTTTCCATCTCTTACTTTTGAGCCAGAATATCAATTCAAATTTAAGCTAGCAAAACTTGATGAAACACTGATAGAAGGATTTGTTTATCTTTATTAACTGCTAATAAATGATTTTTTAACATCATAAGATTTAATAAATATTTATTAACAGTTAATAAATTATTTATTATATACGATTTATTAACTGTTAACAAATATTTTTTAATCATCAATAAATACTTAATAAATTTACTTTCTTCTAAATAAATATTTATTAAATGTTAAAAAATATTTATTAAAATTTAATAAATTAAATTATTAATAGTTAATAAATACTTCTATCAGTGAAATATCAGATTTTTTTAAGTGACCTTTTGAATAATTAAATAAAAAGTGAAAATTACTTTGACCATCTGATGTAAAACATCTCAAGATCATCCTCGACAATGCCGATCTCTTCTTCTTGGTGCGCCTGGTTAAAGTTTTCCAGGATAATAGCGATGTACATGTTGATGACTATCATGTAGCTGATGATGATGAAGGACGTGAAGTACGTAATGGCTAGGAGGGGTAACCCGCAGTCTCCGTTCAACTGCCGGGCGGTTGGGGTAGGGTCACACAACGGCGGTTGAACCATCAGAGACTCCAGGACGTCGTTCCATCCTGCCGACGTCATCAAGCGAAACAACAGCTGCATGCTCCGACCAAAGGTCTCGAAGTTCACCTTTTAGTTTTTTTTAGCTTTTTAGTTTCAGATTGTTCATTTCTATCCAACTTTTTATTAAATATTGCACACCTCCATGCTCTAGCCCGGCTTTCAGTTAATACTCGCATTAAAGTTCATACTTGTTCTTTTGGATACTCCCGCTGTTTGCATAACGCTAACCAATTGTATTAAGGTCATTGTTACAGAGTAATTTTAAATACACTGCTAATGCAATTCTTCCTCTAATGCCGTTAATAGTTGAATATGTTTCTAAACTTCATTTAATATTCATTCACGACTTTATTATTTCTGTTCCCGCAGAGATAATTAAATTTCATCTATAAAATTTATATCTAATATTAACTGAATTCTTTTTTTTTTATTAGTCTTAATATAGTTTACAAATTATTTAATTCTACTATGAATAAATTATAATTTTTTTATATTTTTAGTAGCTTTAAATTTTTTTTTATAGACCAAATGATTAAGATTTTTTGTTGGTTCAAAATTTTGCTATTTACAACTTTTTAATTGTTGAACATTTATTAAGGAGATGTATAAATGTTAATAATTATTTAATGAGTAAATTGATCGGAAATTTCCTCAAAAATGTTATTGATTAATTTAAAAATTAATTTTAAGATGCATAACAAAAGTATTTCTACGTTTTATTTTTTATAGACATTTTTACACTAGCAGGGTACTTGGATCTCCTTAAACTATAGTATTAATTCTTGTCGAATTAAATTAAAAAATCCCTGCAATGATAATAATTTTCACTATTTAATTTTCTCTGTGTATAAATTCGTAATTTTTTTCAAAAAAAAATTTTGGACATAAATTCAGCAGAAAATAATCCTTAAAAAATTAACTTTCAAAAAATAAATGAAAAAACATAAATATTTTTTTATCAACTCTCTAAAGTGACATCTTGAGTAAGAATTTTTCCGTTTTTCTCCCTCAATTTATCACTGAGCTGTCAATAGTTGAATTTCCGCGAGTAAAATCGGGCTCTCTATCGCATTGAATGTCAAGATAATTAATGGCATTACATTATCCTGACATTGAAATAATTTAACGGCGATATAATAAATTTTTAGGGGACTGAGCTTTGAGATGCGCAATCAAAATGATTAAGAGAATAAATCGATAAATAAATTATACTAACCATGTCATCGAGAGCACCCTGCTTGCGAACGTGTCCAAAGACCGACATGCCGATAATTGCATAAATAAACGTAATAAGTGCGAGCAAAGCACCGATGTTAAACAGCGCCGGTAAACTAACGACCAGCGCAAACAGTAGTTTCCGAATACCCTTGGCAGCCTTGATAAGCCGCAGTATCCTTCCGATTCTGAACACCCTCACGACCCGCAGGAGCGTCGGTGACACGGGAAAGTCTATCATTATGTCCTCCATGAGGATTCCGAGGATCGACGCCAGCACCAGTATAAAGTCGAACAGGTTCCATGGCACCGTGAAGTAGTGGTACCGCAGACCTATTATTTTAACGATAGCTTCAAGCCCAAACACTGTCGTAAAAAATGCGTTCGACACTTCCAAAATAAAGAACACCGGGTGCGGCTGGTTGTAATGTTCGATACCCATCGTCAGCATATTCAAAAATATCAGAACGAATATTGCTATTTCGAACCTGTATACATAAATTAGTTATTAGTTTTTATTTTTATTTTTTCGGCCCGCGTCAGCGGTTTTATGGCGAGTAATAAAAACACCACTGGGAAAATTAAAAAATTAATCGGCTTATTTTATTGATAAAATGTATCAATTTTATTTTTATTCACGATGTTGGTTATGATTTTTTGGAAAAATTTGAATTTTTTGGTTCAATATTGAAGATATAAAAAAAATTGTAAGAATTTTTTTAAAGGAAATGTAGTTTTTTTTTTTTTTTTTTTAATTACTTTTAGGAATTTTTTTTATTTTTTAGATAGAATTTTAATTCAAAATTAGAGTTTGAAAACGATTAATCAAATATTGCACGCCTCATAGGCGAAGCGGATGAGGTTGTGCTCTACACTCGCCTTACAAAAATCAAGCGATTTCTTGAACTAAAATTGTCTCTATTTATTTTCTATCAGGCGTGCAATTTTAGATTTTCCAAACTTTTTTACAATTTTTTCTCGTAATTTTACTGATAATGAATTAAAGCTTATCGCCAAAAAAAATTAATACAAATATGGCGTTTTATTAAATAGAAATCTTCCCTACCAACTCGCGCAAAAAGTCTTAATAATTATCTCCTGAAAATTCTGATAGATGGCGTTTAGAATTGGTTCCTCTCTTTTTTTACCCGTAAAAATACTTGTTTACTTTTTATTTAATTATTTTTGATGCAGAATCATAGATTTAAACATTTATTAAAGATGTTTAAATCATAATCAAATTTACTAAATAATTTTTTTAAATTAATAATTTATGAAAAAAATAGTACAGTATTTTTTTAATAAAATAAAAAAAAATTAAATTTTCAATTTAATCACAATAATATATTTGAAATTCATGTATGTTGTATTTTTCCCAGTGATTCTGTTTTTCAATTAAATTTAACAGCACAGTTACGCTCTCTAAAACAGTAGACATATAGACGGTTCTCTAAACAAATACAAATAAAAATAATAAGTGATCAACTATCTTTTGAATTTTATTACCTCCTGGAGTTGGACAAGTCGTAGAACATGGCGAGGAATTGATTCATCGGACGTTTTATTACTTTTTGAGGCTTTTTACGGCCTAGTTTTTTCATGGCTGTGTAGTAGTGCTTCTGACTTTCGGTCAGAAACATTTCTAGCACGCCACCTTCGTACTATAAACATAAAGATTACAAAACAACGTTATAATAATAAATTTTAACATTTATTGGGTAATTTGGGGGCATGTATGCTACCGTGTAATAAACTCCTTTTACTGTCAGATAAAAAACAATAAACCTACTTCAAACAAACACTTTTGATCCATTATTTAGACAACATATCTGCGAAAACTCTTTAAAAACTTTAGACATATTTGGTTCGTATTTTTTTTATAAATATATAGACAGTGGAGGCGTGATAAATACTCAGTGTGACAACAATCGAATTAGCTAACAGCAAGCTGTAGCCCAAACCTCAAGCCCTTGTGAATAATTGACAAAGGATTTAAAACTCCGCAATTTAATAGGTTTACATTAAACTAAAGGGCTTAAAAGTTTAAATAATCATTTACTTGTTGAATCTTTTCACCGTCACTATTTTAAATTCATCGGGTTTTAGGTTCTATTACTTTTAACTCGTTTTAGTCGATATTAAATTTCGGTTCGTTTCAGAAGAATAAAGAGAATAAAGAATTCTATTGAATGTAACCAAACAGAGCAAACAGCGGCCAAGTTAAATCGAATTTATCCGAGAATCGTAAAATAGCTTTGAAAACGTGCCAAATAAATTAAGCAAAGAGGACATACTTCCCTCAGGATATTAATTAAGTTAAATTAGTGCTCTGGCAAAATTAATGCTCATTCTACTGATGACTTTAAATTGGAAATTGATTTATTAATACCTCCGATTGGATACTTGATTCATGAATATGGATTTGGGAGTTCAAGTCATCATCATCACTTTTCACGGTTTATTTGGGTTTAATATTCTCGGTATTTGTACTACATATTTAGTTTTAATCACTGATTATCATGGGTAATAAATATTTATGGTAATAATTTGACGTTGTTGTTGATTATGAATTAATCCGGCTTTTGGATGGGACCGGAGCGCTTTTTGCTCGTTGAAATATGGGGTAGACAAAAGTGAAATTGAAAGATTAATAGTTCTGGTATATATTTGATATTTTTATTTGAACAGTTAAGCGTATAATTTTGATCAAAAAAAGAACTTTTTTTTATGAACCCTTAATTTTATTAAGAAAAAATCTTTGGATGATTCTTTTGATTAATCTTTAGATAATGTCTTATATTACGAAATATTTTTGAATTTTAAGTTGAAATTTTTTGTCGGTTCAAAATTTTGCTATTTGCAACTTTTTAATTGTTGAACATTTATTAAGGAGATCCACGCGAAGTAAAATTTTTAAAACTTCCTGAAAATTTGTAAATTCAATCTACGTAGCCTAATAATTAATAAAAAAATTAAAAAACAGTAGGTTTCCGAGATATTTAATCAAATAATTAGCTATGAAAATTGTAATTTTTACATGTAGGTAAATGAAGATTCCACCAGCCGTGTATTTGGTTAAGAATTTAATGCAATTAACGATTTAAAAAAAATTTTATTTTCATTGAATTTGATTGAAAAAATAATAAGCTTTCGATTAAAACAATAAAAAAAGTAGCTCTCCGAACGTATTACGGAGATATTTTATATTTTTTATGAAAAATCACTCGGAACTTCCATTCTTTAAAGTCTTGTATTTGACTTGGCAACACCGCTTGCGCAGTTACTCGGCGCATAAGTAACCGCGGTTTTTTAAACGCTAGAAGATCTTAGTAATTTTAGTTAGACAGTAAACATAAATAAATTTGAAGGTTAGGGACACTCTTGCAGTGTTGTCAAGTGTATACCGCTTATTCAAAGTGCTATATTTTTTATTAGTCAATTAAATGTTAATTATTATTTAATGAGTAAATTTATCGGAAATTTCCTTAAAAGTGTTATGAATTAATTTAAAAATTAATTTTAAGATGCATAACAAAAGTATTTCTACGTATTATTGTTTTATAGACTTTCTTTACACTAGCAGGGTACTTGGATTTCCTTAATCAAATTGAGATATCGTACTCATCTTTACACATTTTTTTAAAGGATCTTTCGAATATCTATTTCAAGCGCTAGAAAATTTATTATTTAACAAGAAAATAGTACTTATTAATAAAGTAAAATGTGACTGATATATGTATATTAATTTTTAGATTAATCAAAAAATTATCTAAAATCTCTTTTCTTTTTTATTCTAACTGGGTATAAGTCAATGAAAAATAAAACGGGGTTAATTTTTTGTAATCAAATTATTTTAAAGATGAATTAAAATGAAAACCTGTTGGAGTTTTTAATTCGTTTTTTTTTTTAAATAAACGTTTTCATAAAAATTAAAGTCGAAATAATGTAATTATTTTTTGGACATTTTTAATAATTTTCAGGGCTTATTCTTAATTGTAAAGTGTGAAATTTAGAAGAAAAATGAATTGCAATTGACAATTTGACGTACCTTTTTTTTAAGCATATTAAAATTATCAATGATAACTCCGATGAATAGATTAAGAGTAAAGAATGAGCCGCATACGATGAAAATAACAAAGTATACGTAAGCCCATAGATTAGCTTCCCTTTGAGGTTGAAGGTCGACGCCCCTTGCATCAACCGCGTCTTCCATTACTTCCATCCAGCCCTCGAAGGTCGCGACTTGGAACAACGCCAGATAAGCAACACCAACGTGATCGAATGTTATCTTGCTGTTCTCCCAAGTGTAATTTAGATTCATGCAATCGTTCTTCGTGTTTACTATCTATATCAACAGAGAAAAGGAATCACTTTAAGAAAAATCCCTCGAAATTCTGAAATACTCTAGACTATGGACTAAGGAGGTTTATCTGCAACGACTTGTTCAAGAGCTTTAAAAATAACTTACAAGAGAGTTTACATTCTTTTTTTTTTTAACATTTATTTCTTTTTTTTTGGTACTTTACTCACCGCAATGTCTAGCAATTCGCCGCTCTCGTCTAGACATTTGAAGAACTTTCCTCCGAAAAATTGAACTCCCATTATAGAAAAAATGAGCCAAAACACGAGACAGACGAGGAGCACGTTGAAAATACTAGGTATGGCGTACATCAACGCGTTCACTACAATCTGTAATTTCAATTCATTAGTCGCTTATTCATATATTTATCAATTTTTAATAATCAATCCATTTAGTTCAAACAATAAATAAATAAACTGTTTCATATCGACGACATTCATTCGATTTCATTTCAATCAATTTTGTTATTATCCATCATAAATATCTCCCAATCAATTCACAGTAAGCTCAATGCTTTATAATAGAAAGAAATTAATTTAAAAAATACAATCCTGATTTTTTTTCACATAAGGTAGTGATTAAAAAGTATCAAAATATTTCTTCAGACTATTTAAATTTAAATTATAAACTACCATTAAAATCTAATTTTTAATTAATATTTTAGATTTTTTTAATGATCTATATTAAGAGAATAAGAAAAATTTTGTGTCCAGGATAGTCATATGATAAAATCGGTTTTTTTAGTGAAATTTAGTGTGATTACAAAGGTCTTAATTTGAATTTGTGCCTTTTCAAGGTTTCATATCATTCTCACCAATAGTCAATTTATTATAATAAGTATTTAGGCTGTATTCAAAAATGCTTTATCTCTAGATACATAATTAAAAAATAATTTTATATCTTGTGAACTATTGAAATTTTCAAACACATGCATTTTGATATATTTTTCATATATACATACATATCATATATATATTTTGAAGATATAAGCTCATCCCGATGTTATACGCACCAAGATCTTTCATTTGAGTACCCACATCAATTTTTCATATATTTATATATATCATATATATGTATATATGAAAATTATATCAAAAATGCATGTGAGTACTCAAATGAAAGCTCTTGATGAGTGTAGCATCAGGATGAGCTTATATCTTTGAAAATGTCAATAATTAAGAAATTACATATCTATCTTGTCAACTAATGATATTTTAAAAAATATAAATTCACCCTGACATTACACTTATCGATACCTTTCATTTGAGTACCCACATCAATTTTTGATATATTTACATATTTTATATATTTATATTATATATATGAAAATATGAAAAATATATCAAAATGCATGTGGGTACTCAAATGAAAGCTCTTGATGAGTATAACATCAGGATGAGCTTATATCTTTAAACACGTCAATATTTAAAAAAATATAGTGCAATTCAACAAAAGTCATTATTTATAATAAACCAAAATTTTATTTATTTATAGTTCACAAGTCACGGCAGTCACATAGTGACTGCAAGGTTGCTAGTTATAGATTAATGATCTTACAAATAATTTCATCATAAATTATTTTCGACAATAGCGCGCAGAAAAATTCAATAAATCACCGGCTATTGATGTCAGGAACAAACTGAGCTATTATAGATAAATAAAAATCGGTGTAGTAAAACTCTCTGCACAATAATTGTCAGTACTTATGACCCTTGAATTTACAGCCGATAAAGTGTTTTGGCCAATAAATTTCTAAGAAAACAAGTTTATTTATTTATATACTTAATACACTCGATTATCTACAGAAAAGTAATTAAGAGAAGATGCTTTTAATAGATCTTACCCTCATGCCTTGCCATCTTGAGATTGCCCTGAGTGGCCTCAATGCCCTGAGAGTTCTCAACGACCTCAGTACTTTGAGGTTTTCATTTTCTTCGATCAAAAGACTAAACATCGAAACCTGTTGAACAAATCACTATTTTATTGATTGTTATTTTTTTTTAACCTACTAACTAGTATCGAGCTGCTCGCTCTTTGTTTATATTTATATTTATATTTATATCTACACTATATGATGTTCTATAGTTATAGATATAGATATATTTATACATAGGTATGAATATGAAATCGCTATACATATTTTTTGAACAGATAGCATGCAAGTACACTGATCTATCCATACAATTGTGTAGCTGTGAAGATAAGAATGTTTTTTTTTAGCACAAATATTTTTTTTAACAGATGACAAAAAATTAAAAATTTTATCGTCAGACTTAAAATTTTTAATTTCAAATCATCATACAATACACGATCAATCTACTGATGATTAATTTTTTGGAGTTTTTGGTTTTTTTTTTAAGGAAACTGCTGACTTTTAAAGATTTTTCTTTTTTTATTTAAAATTAGTGGAAAAAAAATATTAATATTAGAGATTTAAAAATTTAAGTAAAAAAAATTGATTAAACTTCTTTTAAATTTTTTATCGATTTTTAAATAAAGAAAAAAAATTAAAAATTATCAATAATAAAGATTAAACTCAGAACATAAATTTTACTTATAAAATTAAACTGAAAACTCAAATCCTATCAGAGCTTCTAATTTAATCCGCTAGATGGCGCAATTAAACAATACTTCTCACAAATGGTAGTATAAATCAACGACAAAGTTTATAAAACGAAACTAAATTGTCTGACGGAACTTAACGAGCGTTAAAAATACAATGATCAATATTATTCGGAGTTTTTATCAACGTTTAATTTATTCAACTTGATCAATTATAGAGAGAATTGTGGCTCGATTTTCCGAGTTTTAAAAGCAAGCAGTTCCTTTAATAATTAATGAGGGTTTAAAAAGGATTAGGATTGATTCTGAGAATATTAACGTACCTGGGTCCATGAAGCGACACATAAAACATATAGATAATACATATAGAAATAAAAAAATTTGAACATTCAAAAGGAATTCTCTTTCTTTTTCAGTGTAATACAATTTTTTTTTTTTTTTTTTTTTTTTTAAAGACACTTACATACGCTATATCTTTATCTAACACTTGTTTCGGAATGTAATTAAAAAACGTAAAATGATGTTCTTAAGCCCGTTGAACTAATAATAATTTGTCATCTCATGCGACAATAACACAATAGCCGTTAGTTTGTAGCGTGTTATAGAGACATGAAGTACAAAATAAAATAAAAAAAAAAATAAAGTTGAGAACAGTGTAACGATATTAATACACACATGTATTGTTATTATGATGATAATAGTAGTAGTACAGGTTATCGTAATATAATAGCTATGAAGGGTGATAACTTACGAAAACAATGATAAAATCCAAGATTGTCCAGAAACTTGTAAAGTATTTACAGAATCCGAGCGCGATCCACTTAAGCACCATTTCGACGGTGAATAGCAGGCAGAATCCCAAGTTTGTCCAGTAGAGAATGCCCTTCAGGAATGGATTGTCGTCAAGATATATGTCCTCAAAACAAAGGGTGACAGACGAGGCAAATATAAATGCCAGGATCATCCATTCAAAGCCCGGGGTGTCGACAATCGACAATACAACTATGCGTAAGTTTGTCCATTTGTGCCCCAGATCCGTGGCGATACATTGATTAATACAACTACATCTATTAAATAAACAATTATTAGGTATTATTAGGTATATGATGAATACATCATTTGCTACCCAGATTTTCTCGCAACACAATTAGATCATTTCAACAGGTTATGGGCTCGAATCTTATAGCTCAAGTTTTCTAAACGCGTTTTGTCTGCCCGCAAAGCAACCAAATGGTTAGAGAACTCGATATTTTTATTTCGAACATTATTAACTCGTTATATTTTTGCTAAAATCATTAATATTGTAAAAAGTTACTCAAATTTTGGAAAAATTTAATGTTGTATTATTTACATGATAAAATTCTTCCTACAATTTCAATAATTAATTATTAATGAATGTTTAAACGTAGTTAAAGTATCTTTTAATTAGAAGGTAGTACTATACTGTCGATAATGCAAGAAATAATGCAAATGTTTTTACGTCAGAAAAAGAAAGATTGATAACTTATAATAGTTATTTTTTATTAATAATAATTATTACATGCTCTTAATCTGTGATTTATACCGACAGTATTTCCTCAAAAACCCATAAGACAACTTTGCATTGACAGGTCGTACTAAATAAATATAAAGTGCCTACGAAACATTCTAAAAAAATAGTGCTGACTACTTTAATCCACTAATTACAAAATAAACTACATCAAAGCTTATTTTTCTTCACAAAGGAATTTGTCATAATCTTTCCTTATTAATGAAGAATCCAAAAAAGTAAATCAAATTCTAAAAAAATAGCCAATTAAAGCCCTAGCTTAAAAATTGACTGCTAGATCTTCCGTGTTGCTTTAAACCTAAAACAATCTTCCATAATTAAACCACCTCCCAAACTCTTAAGTACCTTTTATTTTCCCCCTAAAAATTCCGCGGCGAAAACCAACAAAAAAAACTTACTTTTGATAGCAATGCTGAGGAAAGCAATCCTGAGGTACCCTGTTCTGCTTATTTCTCCCAAAGCCTGGAAAGGAGCCCATGCCGTCGACGTAACGTCCTTTGCTATCGCGCCTTCCACCGACAGTGAGCTCGTCGACGTAGCTAACGAGCGCGTGCCAAGGTCTTTTCTGCTTGGCCGCGGCTTGCTGCTGCAGTTCGTCTTGCCTCATTGTCGTCATCATTGTAACCGAGGACATCATCATCATCGACTCATTGGTCTCCGCTTTTTCCCTTTCCTTCTCTTTCTCCTTCTCCTTTTCCTTATCTTTGTCCTTTTGCGGACGTGGAAGCATCGCTAATCTTTCTTCATCTTCGGGAGTTCTGCCAGATTCCTTGAGAATCTCCATTTCGATACTTTCCTCAGGATTGGTCTCATTGCTATCGCCCTTGCCCTCGTCCAACTTTCCCGCAGGCCTCACAGTTTCTTGGCTACTGTGGCTGTAAGTGGTGACAGTGGCCTGACGGTGATAGATCGGCTCGTAAGTAAACACCGGCTGGTTCAAGCTTTCTTGATAAGACCGATTGTAAATATTGTCCTTTGGCAAGCTCAGAACAGTTTCTTGAATCGCGTATTTTTCTTTATCAGACTTGTCCATAACTTCGCGGACAATTTGTTCCAACCTGGTGTTCTTCTCATTTTCGGTCCGTTCTTTTCTGTAGCGTTTTTTCCTGACGATAGATCTGATCCGGTCAAACGACCGCGCTAATTTAGAATCCTCACCAACTTCCTGTTTTTTTTGCTTCAACTCCTCCGAGTTGAAGCTGTTGAGCAACAAGGCCAAGAAGAGGTTCAGAACCATGAAATTGCCCATCACCAGTGCTGGAAGAAATATCGCAAAACAAGTTTCCGGACCCTCATCTTTCTCCGCACGCATACAGTCCCAGAGGGGCTCGATCCACTCTCCGCAGAGGATCCGGAAGATCATCATAAAAGAGTGGAAGAAGTCGTTGAAGTTCCACCGTGGAACTGGGTCTGGGTAGAATTTATCTGGTGTGTAGTCCTTGCTGAACAATTGCATACCTATCACGGCGAATATGTAGATCACGATCACCAATACTAGTGTCAGGTTACCCAAAGCTTCGATACTGGAGATTATGATGCTGAGCAGGACCTTCATTGTGGTCCAGGACTGCGCGAGCTTGAGGACTCGCAGAAGTCGCAGGCCTCGTAATACTGATAGACCGTCCACTAATTCGAATGTCAGATCGATCAGGGACGCCGATACGATTATCAGGTCAAAGTTGTTCCACCCGTTGTTGAAAAAGTCTTTGCTCAGTGCGAGCAACTTTAGGAAGCACTCGAACGTGAAGATACTTGTGAAGACTTTGTTGCCGATGTTCAAAGCTTGGCGGACGTTCTCGCTCATTCCGTGGTGCTCCATTGCTAGAAATCCCGTGTTTAGGACTATGCACAGGGTTATCGTTAGCTCGAATAATGGGTCGCGGACCACCTAGAGAAGTTTTAATGGGTTTTTTATTAGTCGGTTCATTTAGTTTGTTTTTTGATGAGGATTCAGAAAGAAGGATATATATTATGGAAAAAGCTATTTGATCATTAGGTGAGAGCTTAATTATGAAGGGAAATTGTTGATAATTTTTCGGCTATCTTATTTTAAAACACAGTAACTGATGTTTCTTAAATTTTATCAAATCGACGGTCTAATTAGCAATTTCTCTAATTCTCTATTCTTTAGAGGGTGATTTTTTAACATTTTGATGTAGCAATAGTTCAATGATAAATTATTTGAATGATTCAAACCAAAATATTATACCTTTATTAGACACTAATGATATTAAATGATAATAAATTTTGAACTAATTATTTTTTTCGTACAAATGGAAGATTCTCTAAAATGGAGTTAGACAATTTGCTAATTAGAACGTCGAAATGAGTCATATACTCTAACAGAAACTAAAATTAGTGTAAAAAAATGATTTCTTGGTTCTCAAATTTATTCAAGTGAACCATCTAAATTTATCAATATTTGACAAAGAATTTTAATATCTTCGTTTATTAAAAAACATTTGAATTAAGTATCAATTACTTCGATAAATTTAACCAATTTTTTTTAGATAAGAAAGTATATTCTCAATAATTATCAAGAACATATGTTCTTATGTTAAAGAAATTTTATTAATAATATTATTTTTTCTTTTAGCTTAAAAATTTTGATTTAGACATAGTAGATATCTTAACAAAAACATAAAAAAAGCATGATGAATAACATCGAAAAAAATCAGGTTTAAAATTCTGCAGTTACTGTGCTTGAAATGGATTAAAAATACCTTATATAAACAATTTTGAAAACGCAACCAGCCTTCGTAATCAACACAACATTGAATACATTTGTCGCAATTTCTGTCAGGAAGATCATCTAAAACAAATAGAACATTTATGAAGATCTTTTTCAATTTATCAATTTACAACTCCTTCTAAAGGCGCTTTTTCAATTTTCCTTCCAAAGGCGCTCTCAATTCAATAAAAATAGGATATATGTGCTCATGTGGAGTACATAAATGTTGATTATTTGTTTAACTAGTGTAAAGTCCTTACGGAGCTTTGGCTTTAGGGTCTAAATTGTTAAATAAATAAATTAATTAATTAATTCAAGACTCAAAGCAACCTTTAGAAAGAGTCTACTGTATTTAATAATTCTAAAATTCTTACCAATGACAACAATATGGGACAAATACTCAGGAGGCAGGGTGTACATTTGTTTCTTAGTTTTGACCCCGTTGCATTTGAGGACCCGAATTTCCCGGCTTTTGCTCCTGACGGAAACAGTGACCGGAGCAATGGGAAGAAGGGTGCGTTCGCCAGTGGTAGTGGTCACCATCTGCATCCTTTCTTGTCGTTCAAGACGGGGCTCGCGGTGCTTGTGCTCACGATGGTGATGCTCTCGCCGTTCGTGCTCTTCAGCCGAGGTCACGTCATCACCATCGTGATCATCTACGACACCCGAGTCATCCAGCGAGGACTGCTGGTTGCTGTTGTTGCTGGCTTGGCGCGAGTGCAGCATTCCTCGGTGAGGGGCCAGCCGGTGGATTGGGTCCGGTGGCCGGGGTGGCGCCACCTGGAGAGGTAGATTTGATGGCCGGACATTTGAGTGCCTTGGACTCGGACTCGGGCTCGGTGTCGCTGACCTGGTGTTCAAATAAATTCTTTCAGCATTTAGTGAGTCGATTAACCGTGGTTCTTTAAGTTTCAGACATCTGAGAATTTTTTTTTTGAGAATTTTAATTTAGAAAATTTTTTTTAAATTTAAATTAGAAGTCAATTTATATTGAAGTTTTTTAATTAATAATTTTTATTTTGAAGAATTAAAAAATATGTTTTTTAACTATTTAGAAAATTTATTAGTTTTATTTATTTAACAGTATAAATATGCAAATTAATCTACTTTGAAAAAAAAAATATTAAAAATTGTTAAATATATAAATTTTGATAAAAAAAATCAAATTTTTAGCCAATTTTTATCTTTTTTTTTTTTTTTTGTATTTTAACTATAATTTAATGACATTGAAAATTAATCTTTAGATACATAAATAAAAATATATTTTAAACTAAGAATAATTTTTTTTTAATTTTCATATTTGAGAATATTTTTTAGAGAAATCTTAAATAATTAAAAGAGTGAATCGGCCGCGATAGCCGTGCGGATTAATGCGTTAGTCTGTACAGATATCGTGCCGAGAGGCGCGGGTTCGAGCCCCAGCGGTTGTTAGAAAACTGATTTCAACAACAACCGCTGAGGGTCGCTCTCGTAGCCGAACTGTACTGACCAGGTTTTCTGTGGTTTTCCTTGGTCACTGTGCTAAAGCTTAAATGGGCAGGCACAGGCCAATGCGTACAGCACTTGTAAGTCGGCCACAGCCGCTACCTCGAACGCACTAAGGTGTGGTAGAAAAAAATCTACCACACTGAAGGGGTGGGGGGTGCAAAACAAGGGGAAAAATAAATGTGATAGTTACAAAGTCATAACCAAGAGTGAAAAAAGTGAGGACTAAAAAGTGGAAGAATAAATAAAATCCCCACCCTCTCCTTGTAAAAACACACTAAGGTTGTATACAAGTAAAAATCATATTTATTTTTTTAATTAAAAGAGTTATTTTTAAATATTCATATTTTTCGCAAAAGTTTAATTATTCTTCAATATATTTAAAGAAAATATTACTTTATTTTTTTAATAATTCAAAAAGTACCAAATATAGTTGTAAAATTGAGTTACTAGGTCACATTAAAGTGCCTTTGATATTTTAAGTGTACGTGAATTACAACTAAAATATTTACGAAGATCAATCAAAAGTTAAATATTTAATTTAAATTTTATATATATTCTTAAAATAAATTTTCTATAGAGGAAATTTTTTTTCATTATAAAATGCATAATTATCCAACCTAAACACTTTTAAATAACAATTACAGTGCATTAAGTGTTTTTATAATAAAATACATCAGTACTTTTCATATTATAAGTGCATTGTAACATTAGCCTTGATGAAAAATGAGCATGTTTTTGTTTTTCGAGAGTGAAAAATCAGTTTTTTTTCCACAAAAAATTATTTTGTCCCTATGAAAAAAAAAATTCCAAATGTCTGATCTTTTTAGCACGACAATTAATTCCAAAAAATAACAATTAAAAACAAGTGGCATGGGTTGCAGGGTGGAAAGGACTCGTGAAGGTTAAAAGATTTGAGGATGATCCTACTGATCGCGTTTTTTAATCAAGGACCTGCTCCTCGCGCCCCCGTTCTTTTCCTGGCCAGCAGAGCTTCTTCCCCGTTTTCTTCTTCGAGTTTTTTTCCTGGTGTAGCTGCTCAGCAGAACGCCTTTGCGCGCATCTATTTTTTTCTGCTTCTCTTTCGTTAGGGTTTTGATGTTGATCTTCGTCGGGTCGAAACTAAACGTCGAGTCTTCGCGATGGTCAGTCAGGTCTTTTTTTCTTTCCTGTCAATCAACATTAATATTTAAATTAAATGAAAATTATTATCAATCAATCAATCAATCTCAAGATAATTAATTAATGAATCCTTCGGTGGCTTAGTCGACAAATTCATCACTTAAATATCTTCAGACTAGACTAAAAGCGGGAAGGAAGAAGGAAGCCAATGAAAGTGTTACCTCGTTAGTAATTTCAGCTTCTTCCTCGTAGCTCAAGGCCACGACGGCAAGCATCAAATTGATGAGGTAGAACGACCCGAAGAACACGACCACCGTGAAAAACGTGACGCTGATAGGCCCGCACGCCGACAACACCTGTTTTGGTTAATAGGCATATCATTTTTCAAACCCACATGGATATATATACGCTAACCTCGATAGCTTCGCAAGTCTCCATTCTCTACTCTGTCTGGAAGTTCTCTCATCCATTATCTAAAATCTTTTTTCCTATCGTAATACATCATCATATTTTACCCGGTACTTTATAAATTACCTTATAAGCTTTTACATATTGTAGAGGTATATAGGGGGTGAGAGTTTGAGCTTGAGTTTTCTTTATCAAAATTACTCTGTCTTTGTCCCAAGGAAATTACTTGGAAATTTTTTTTTTATTTTTAATTAACCTTTTCCTGGTTAATTAATTCTTATCGAACTTTTTATTCTAAAGAATTAGATAACGGGAAGTTATTTTTAATTAGTTTTATACTTAGGGAAATTTTTTGGTAATTATCTTATGAGATAATTATTTTATTTTAAAAAAATTTTATTTTTTTCTAAAGAATTAGATAACAGGAAGTTATTTTTAATTGCTTTTTTATTTAGTTTTTAATTATAATAATTTTCTTAAAAAAATTTGGATTTAAATTTATTAAATTAAATTGAAATTAATTAATTAAAGTTTTATATAAATTGTATTTTTATTTACAAAAAATTTTATTTATTCTAAAGAATTAAATAACAGGAAGTTATTTTTAATTAGTTTTATACTTAATGAAATTTTTTGGTAATTATCTCATGAGTTTATTTCTTATATTATTGATTTTGATTATAATAATTGTCTTAAAAAATTAGGATTTAAATTTATTAAATTAAATTGAAATAAATTATATTTTTATTTATTAATATCTCTAAAAACAGTCAGACTCTAGTGCCAATAATTACCTAAATTACTAGAGCCAACACTACCAGTAAATACGAACTCCGAGGGTTAATTAAACATCGTTAAATTCCGGACCAATGACCAACGGAAACTAAATACTAAATACTAAATACCCACTAAACATATAAATAAATAACTCAACAAACCTTATTATAAACATCCTCCCAGTAGTCGAGAGTAATTAATTGAAAAGTAGTGAGCATTGACCACAGAAAGCTATCAAAATTCGTGTACCCGTGGTTCGGGTTCGGTCCCACGCACAGACAAGTGTAGTTCTCTTTGCAGTGCCTGCAAATCAGAGCATGAACCGTCTGACATTATATTACCTTACCACTTTACTTTATTAATTTAATTTAACCACCCGGCCATAAAAGTCACATAATAAAATTATAAACCGCGATAAAATTTAACATAATTTTCCTTTTCAACACGTGATTTATTCATTTTTATTGCATCCAATTACTATTTAAATGAATTAAAAATTTTTGGAACTCAAAAAATAGCTTATATTGTTATTATTATCCAATTTAATGAGCATTGAAATAAAAGTAGAGTTTAATAGAAAGAAAAATCGATTTTTCAACCGGCCGCGAGTGAGTGGTTCTCTTAATTGTTTTTGATTCAATTTAAACTTGATTTCTCTAGCAAAATTAATCCCTGAAAAAGAATTCAGTTCACACCCATTATTCACGTCACAGTTTTGTTGTAAAATACTTTTTTTACGTTTTATATATTTGGTTTATTTTATTTTATTTTATTTGGGTTTTTCTGATAAATATAAAGATCAATCTTGAAAGCGGCAGAGCGATTCTCTGTTAGTTGAGTTTGCGGAAAATAAGTATATATATATAAATTTTTTTTAGCAGCAGCTGCGGTCCGATGAACCGTAAGCTTAAAGTTTAGCTCGTTGAAAAATCCCAAGTGTTCGGAAACGGTCGAGAACCAGGATAGAGATTTTCTATACTTTATATCTACAGATATACAAATGTTACAAAGTTCTTTACAAATAAATATATATATTAAACGTAAATCCGGTTTAGATAAGTGTCGATCTCAACCCTAGTAACTATTTCGCGCTTCATCGCCGCCATTTCATTTGCCCCGCGGAATACAAAATGAAGGAATTAAGGCAGAGCGATGTCAAAGCAAATACGACCCTATTATTTTTCTTTCACTATTGTTTCTCGTCGAGGTTTTGCTTCTTTTTTTATCCCTGTAATGGGATTTTTATGAGTCGTTTAAATAATTGTGCGTTAATTATTTTTTTATTGAATTGATTGTGAATTTTTGGATGGATAAATTTTATTTTAATATTTTAAGAAGTTTGATTTTTGGAGCATGAAAAAATATTTTAAATTAAATTATTCACGGAAAAAAGTAAACTGTAATAAATAATATTCGATTTATAATAAGTAATGATCAACTGGAATGAAATACCATTTCAAACAGTAAAATCGTGATTTTAACAATCACTTTATAATATTTATACCATTTGTACCATTTAAATAATAACATTTAAATGGTACAATTTATTATTTACATGGAAGAAAATACTATTTCAAACAGTAATATTTGCTATGCGAAAGTCGAAAATTTTAAAGTATAATTATTAAAAATTTAGATTTTGATATTTATCATTTCGTACCTAAAAAATGATCTTATGATATGTAAAAAATATAAATTACAGTTACTAAATTTCTATACAAGCAACGTCAATCTTTACAAAGCAAAATGATAAATTTAAAACGCAACGCTAAAAATCAAACTACAATTATTGATTTGCTTGGACTGGTAAAATATATATTTTTAGAGTAGAATTTTTACTGTTTCAAATGTTAAATTCTCCGAGTGTGAGACCTTCTCCTTCTCCTCAGACTATATATTGAAACGGCAATTTTTACTGTTTGAGACAGTAATTTTTTAAGATGTGTGGCTTTTACACTTTCTACATTAAGTTTTGTAATATTTAGATTTGTGCCATTCCGATCGCCGCTATAAAAATAAAAATTATAGTTTAAAACTATAAAAATTAATCGGAATCCGAGTGAATTTTACAGTTTACATTTTTCCGTGTTAAAAAAAAAGTTTTTCTAATAAAAAGTTGAGTTATAAAATAAACTTTATTAGTTTTAACCCCACGTCCTGTTTGAATAGTCTTATTATGGCTCTAAATAAGAAAAAATAAAACCTGGCGCCGGTGACATTCCCGCAGATGATAGGATTCTCGTCCTCGCCGAATGCCCAATTGGACGAATTCCAAGCCCACCTGTTGGCAGAGAAGAGTATAAATCTTTCTTACAATTTTATAGATCAATATTGTTATGTAAGCACATAGACAGATAGATATATCATATATATACGTATAAATATGTGCAAACGGTAAGGATGTAAGAGTAAGTACATAAAAGTTGCTATATATAGTGGACAAGTTACTTGAGCTTGAATGGAATAGAAAAGAAAAATCTTCGTTTGTTCTACATGTACTTGAGAAATATTTTTATTAGATTTCTATTTCTGGCAGACGTATTTTTTCACGCTTCAGTGAGATTACCATTTTTTTTTTTTCAACGGAGATGATAAAAATTTACTCACATAAGACGTTTATATTTCTATGAAAGTCAAGAAAGTATCTTGATAAAAGATAACTTTTAACGTCGAGTTTGGAGGATAAATACGAATCGATATATATTCTATCTTATATCCTCTATCGTGGTAGTATTCTTAAACTATCGGTTAACATTAACGATCGAGACAAGACTCATCAACTTCTAACCAGTATTCGTTTCTCATAAAATAAAACTCTAGTAAAAAAAGTATATATAACCTACTGAACGACCTTTTGAATAAATTATTCTGTGCTACATTTTTAAGATGGTCAAATATATATTTTTTTAATCTCGTTTAATTTTGTTCGTTTCTTTTTTTTTGTTTTTTTTTTTTTGTAAGAATTATTTACTCGGTAATCCGAGAAAGTTTTTCTCGTGCTTTTTATTATCTATTAGTGAGAAATAAATTACATTTATGATTTTTTTATTTTTATTTATTTTTACATGTAGTAAAATAATAATCCATACGCATTAAAATTTTATTTTATTTTATTTTATTTTATTTTTAATTTTTTTATTTTATTTTATTTTATTTTATTTTATTTTATTTTATTTTATTTTATTTTATTTTATTTTATTTTATTTTATTTTATTTTATTTTATTTTATTTTATTTTATTTTATTTTATTTTATTTTATTTTATTTTATTTTATTTTATTTTATTTTATTTTATTTTATTTTATTTTATTTTATTTTATTTTATTTTATTTTATTTTATTTTATTTTATTTTATTTTATTTTATTTTATTTTATTTTATTTTATTTTATTTTATTTTATTTTATTTTATTTTATTTTATTTTATTTTATTTTATTTTATTTTATTTTATTTTATTTTATTTTATTTTATTTTATTTTATTTTATTTTATTTTATTTTATTTTATTTTATTTTATTTTATTTTATTTTATTTTTTTTTTAATTTGTTTAAAGTCGCATAAACTACTAAGGTCATGAGCGACTACGGTAGGGGGTAA